GACTCATAGGGCAGAGGCACCCCGTCCAGCTGTATCATTGACACCACCTGCTTGCGTCTTCTCCCAAAACCCCTTCCTTCATCTGCACTGCTGACAGAGCCCTCCGGCTCATCACCGCCAAATTTGGTGGCCCAGTCTACCTGGGGGTTATCCCCAAGCAGGTGCAGGTTGGGGTCGCTGTTGGTCAGAATGATGCTGTCCCTGTAGAGGTTATGCCTCCTCTGCACAGCTGCTTCCTTTACAGCTGGACACGGGGGGAAAAAGGTAAGGCATGTTATTACTGCAGCTATCCATTGATGCCATCATCATGAAAACTGTTTCTAAATCTTGATCCTGGCCCTTACCCATCATTATGTCTTTGGAGACAGACTGCAGCACCACTTCCTCAAACATATTTTCTATCAACAGAAAACGCGAGAAGTCCTCAAAGATTAGCTCCTTGAAACGAGGCAGCTCCTAAGGAAACAGAATTCAAATAAGACCAGGATGTCGTTTCTAGCACCAATCCTTTTAGTTGGTCAGCAGGTGAGGCTGAAATCATAACTCTCAAAAATGCTCTTTAAATGCATCCTCAACTCTTTTTTTTCCCCCCCTCATAAAAGACGACATTTATGTGCTCCCTGTATCCTTAATGACGAGTCAGTATTTTATCACTAAAGACATCTTTTGATGACCATTGCAGCAGTTTTTGGGATAGTCCAAATGTTTGCAGAAGAGGAGATCCCCCTCTCTAACTTCTAGTAGACAGTCCTTTTGTTCTCTGGTCAGGGCTGAAATATGATTGAAAACTTCTCAGTTCACAAAAAGGCTTCAAGCATTACTCATGGCAAAAGTTCCTTTTAGAAACACGTCTGCCTACTGTGCAGCCATTTAACTACGCTACCTCTTTTTCCACCGACGTGATTCAGTGATTGTCGCTAGTTCTGGTGCCAGTTCAAAACCTGTTCTTTAAGTGATTTATGAGAACTTGTCTTCTAGTTTGGAAACTGAACGCTATTGTGAGACAAAAATTAATCACTGAATTTCTTTTGATAGTCATGGGACTGGTTCTAGATTAGACACAAGCATCATATTGATGAAGTAAATAGGATGGGGAAACAGGATGACAACAGGTTTTTTTCTTTTTGTTTTTTTCCCTCTGAGTCAATATTTATGCCTTTTTTTCCCCCTCAAATGTACATTTGCTGCTTTGGTGATTCATAGGTACTAAATTTTCTACTTTTGCAACCCACTCATATATTGTATGGCATCTTGTGTTTTATTATTTACAGTTTTTATCCTTCAAATCCCATAAATTATATGTAATTATATGTAAGGAAAAGTTTGTAAGACAGTTCATTCACTTTTATTTCAAGTGTTACTCACAGGTGAGCAGGATGGCGCGAGCTGCTGCAGCATGTAGGGGATGATGATCTGCAGCAGAGCCTCCCTGAAGAACTTCTTGCGCACCGTGCTGCTGTCATAGTCATATTTCTGACAGGAAAAACCAGAAACACAAACATAGCTTAGGGACATGAATTACCTTTAGCGATTCAGACCTTTCAACACTTATTCTGTGCTGCTGTAAAATCCTCTCCTCTTTAGACAGTCATCAAATTAACCTGCTTTGAGTTCATTTGAACTTTGATGGACTCAAACATCATTAACACAAACAGGTTTTTCCTGGAATATCTAATCTGAAAACTGTGAGCAATATAAGAATCATTTTAAAATATATATATATATGTGTATTTGACCGTCTCCTCTTTTGATCTTTCCATGTGTTCGTGTTTTACCTTGAGAACTCTGTCCTGGCATCTCTGGGTGAGCTTGCACATGTCACTGTCTCCCTGGGCCTCTAACGACTGGTTAAGCAGCTGTTCAAATGTGTACACTGCATTGTCCATTTGCTGTCAAAATGAAATCATTATAAAAAGGTTAGGTGTGCCACAACTCAGATTCAAATTGCATATTCTTTTTTTTGGCCAGCAGGTGGCAGTAGACAATTCAGCAGAGGTAGTGTGGATGCTGCTGTATTATAGCTTACTGAGGAGCAGGGAGTGTTGTCAGAGAGCCTGACAGGAGTGTGTGATTAAAACTAATATTTCCCATCATATTACAGAGGAGGGTTGTTGCATCTTACCTCCCTCATAAGGATCTGAGCCCTGCTGATGAACACAGATGGACTGGAGACGTCGAACCTCTGCTGCAGTCCCTCCAGGTTGAGCTCTTCCACCTTCTCGTAGCAGCTCTGCATTTTCACTGGATGGAAGGCAAGCATTGACAGCCTTTCCATGTTCTGAAAGAAAGAAAGAGAAGAGCAATGTGGTGAGTGCAACTGACCCAAGGAGAGGGAAAGTTAACAACAACTTGGCTGACTTCTGATTTAGGATAACGCAGGTTGGACATGCCTTTTCAGGCACTAACCTCTCCCATTTTTTCTTTGCCCCCTCCGTTGAGTGAGTTCTTGCTTATCTCCACCATCTCCCTGAAGAAAACATCCCTGACCTCGGCAAAACCTCGGCTAGTGGGGTCCATCAGCGCCTCCAAAATGGAGTTGATGTAGGGCTGGATGTTGGTCCGCAGGATCTGCTCTGCTTTTGGCAGCACTAGAGCTGCACAACAGAAGCAATAGAAGGATGGAAGAAGGGGTAAAAAGTAGTTAGTTACTGAAGCTTGTAAACAAGCGACGCATGCTGATGACAAGAAAAACAAAGGTGTGGCACCGACTTCAAATGAGCTGTGCTAGAAAGTCACAACAATATCAGAGATATTATTTGGTCGTTGAAATGGTTGGTATGCATGTGGTGACATTTAAGTAAACACACTAATGCTGCTTCCATGGAAGGGCCACACCTTTTGTTTTTATGGTTTTCTACCCAGTGTAACGCAATGCAACTGCAGATGCTAAAAAATATAAATATAAAAATAGATCATAGCTACAGTTACACCTGATGAAGCCATGCATAAGCCTCACATCCCTTACATAACCCTTTGTTATTTTGCTCAGTTGATTTACAAAGTCAGAAATGGCCTTTGCAGTGCTGGTGAAGGAATGCAGTTCCTCCACTCAGTGGGAGCTCAGTGGGAAATGGTACACACGAAGGAAACAACCAGCCTGCGCCAAAGACCGGGTACTCTGCTGCTTTAGAGCTCAGCACGCCAAGCAATATGTAAGTTACAGTGGGCAAAACAAGCTGTGACAACAATGTGCAAACGCCAGAAGAAGTGGAAAATGCCTGCTAAGGAGGGAGGTTTAGTTACAGAGTTACAGGACCTGTTACTAAATGTCCAAAAAGGGTTTTCAGAATTTTGAGCATGCGGTGATCAGACTAATCACTCCTCTCTGCCAAAACCGCTGATTCAGAGAATCCACAGCTACATGTCACTGAGTCAAATAGTGGGCGAACAATAGAGCACACATCTGTGATCGAGGGGGTTACGTGTCAAGTCACAGCGAGTACCGAGTGAACCATTTTCAACAGCATCCTGCATACACACGAGTGAGGATGTAAACTGAGGCAGTGTACGGAAATCTAGCTGGGGTACTTTTTATGTCTGTGGCAGCTGAAACTGGAATATCTTCTTGCTGATACCTCGGATCTTGCTGCTGACATGTTCTTTAGACGTGATGATCTGGTCCATATCGGTTCGCAGCCTGGCGTCTAGTGGGCCTCTCTGGGCCTCGCAGGCTTCAACCAGAGCTTCGTACTGCCCGGTGGTCTGAGTCAACACCTGCTTGTACACGGCATCCGATATCTGGAGGAGTTCAAGAGCATAAATGGATTGCACTGGTTGACTTGTGTGTTTTTTTTACAAGTTTACTGTACAGATTGACAGAAACTCACCAGCATCCAGTTCTTCTGCCTCTGCTGCATCTTCCCCTTCAGGCGAGGGACGATCATGTTTCTTATGTCAGGGTGAAGGGTCTCCATCACCAGATTAGCCAAAATCTGCACACACACAACACGTGGAATAAACGCTTTTAGATTTATAATTAGATTGACTTGCAAAAATTTCATACTATGAATTATGAAATCATCTGCCTGTCCACAGCCAGCAGGATGATATAGTTACTATATGCCAACCAGCTAAAGCAAAACAAAAAAATAGAGCCTAAAAATAAGCTCCTCTTTCCTGTATGGCTACATGAACACAGTGGGACACTGGGAGGCAGGAAGGCTGCTTTTACTGGCACTGCCCTCACAACTGACAAACACTCACGAAGCTCAGATCCTTCATGATGCTTTAACTAAGCTAAACTAAATATTTGGTGATGGCTATGTTGCTGGGTAATGAACAGCCAGACAAAAGCAGCATAGATTTTCCACGCAGCGGGCTTTACAAATAACAGATATGTTGTAGCCTGAAATCCAGCAGCGTTTTCTTTCTGTAGTATATTTGCTCTACTGATTGCTGATATGTTATCCTTCACTGTATAACTTGACTTTAAATGGCCATAAAAGCCGACCCTATTCAACCTCAAACAGGCTCACTGATATCAAGATTAAAATGAAAGAAGTCATCCTACAGCAAGCATTAATGGAAAGTAAAGGTCTTTGCTTTTTCTGTCGCAATAACGGTTCAAACTGTTAACTGTTATTTCAACTGCTGTTCTGTCTGCGTCTTTGGTTAAAATGTGGGATACAAATGCAGTCACATATAAAGTGCGACAGCAGATCAGATGTAGCCCGAATTTCATACACCAGAGTGAGATGAGGCAGTCAGAGTCAAAATTTTGGTCTAAAGCTACATTTAGACCAAACATTTGATGCTATTTGGGGTGTTATTCCATATTTGTCTCTATATTTACTGTAGTAAGTTAAAATTGGATATTTTTAAAGGGATACTGCCAAAAACTAGCACTAGCACACTGCCAGAGAAATATTTGAAATACAGTACAAATAAAAACCCTCATAGCTAGCCTAGACATATACCTGCAATTAGTTACCATGGTAACTCTGGCCCTTTTGTGAAAGGCCTTGAATTTAAACCACTAAAGCCCTGCCCCTCTGATTTGATCCTTCATGCTAATCTGCTGTTGCTAACGTAGCATTTCATTGAGGAGTTAGTCCACCAGCAATATGAGTATACTGCTGGAGGCCTGTTCTGTGGGAGAACGAGTTTGATGTTCTGGCTGTATCACCAGTGAAGTTTGAACGACACCTGGAGGGGATTTTTAGGCTCTCTGTGCCTCCATGAGTTCAACAAGGTCAGTAAATGTTTGCTTGCAAACTGTATTCATTGCCTCTGTTTGCGTTTGTAGGCCTGCAAGTAAACCATAAAGCTAACAGCACACACCACTAATAACAATGACAATGGCTCAGTTATGGTCAACTTATATTTCCCCAGTGAGCCTGTTTCATGCTTTATGGCTTGTTGATGGTTCTCTGTTAATGCCGCTTCCAGCTACCTGTGTGCTGCATTCACTGCTTGTTGTTTTCACACAGCCACTTGGATTGTTTGAATATAATGGGTGTTGGGGCAGATTTTGTCCCCCCCCCCCCCCGACATTTCCTACTGGCTCAGTGACAACACTGATCTTAAGTAGAAGTTAATGTTTTTAAGTTGCTTTAGAAAATTCAAACAGCCCATTTAGCATCACGGTGCATGGCTTTTATTAGTGGAAGGTTAATCTTAACCACAGAGGTACTGGTGAGTGTTTGCTTCATATTTTCCCTTATAATAAATGTAAAAAGCCAAGCTATATAATGGGAATCAGAAAAATGATTGACTACATCTCAATAAATACCCTGGAGACATAACCCTGCCATCTGTTTCAATTAAGAAAACATTTGAACCCATACAAAGGATTCCTTTGTATTACCCATGGTGCTCCATCTCTACTTGGAAATTAGGCCTGAAAACATTGAACTTTACATAATGGAACAACGAGGAAATTTTACCTGGAGGCACTGACTCTGCAAAATGTTTTTTTCAGAATTATTTTAGTTGGTTTTTGTAGCAAAGGATAAAAGTGGTTGCATAAACTGGCTGTATTTCTCTCTTAATTCCCTCTAGATGTTTATCCAAAGTATTTGTAGCATTACGTGCATGAGCCTTAATGCCAGCGTCTCTGTTAGACTGAAATAAAAGGAACATTTGGCCCCTTAACAGTAGAAAAGCCCAACCTACATCTATGTCACATTTCTATTCAGTGTCCATGTGGCATGGAGTAAACACTGTAATGTTCAGGAAAACTAAATATTAAACTGACATTCAGACTGAAAGTGTTTATAGCTAAAAGGTGGCTGCCATAAACACAGGGCTGTACTCGGCTCTGGCAAAGACTGAGACTAGGTCCTTGTAATTGCTGGTATGTGGGTTGAGGTGTTTTTGGCCTCTTTGAAGGATTTGTGTAGGTGCATTCTTGCTCTCTGATGTGAGGAGAGGGTGTGTGTTTCATTCGTCATCGTGGCCTCTCAACAGCTTCACCTATAGCCCTGACCTGCACTCTGAGCTACTCGCAGAGAAAGATGAATTGCTCCTGAAAATGTCTTTTAACCATAACCTGCAGCAGTCTTGATATTTTGAGTTGGTGTCAGAGCAGCGGCACAGAAAGAAATTAAGGTGTGGCCCCGGAAAACTGTTCCCTGACAGAATCTGCGAGCAGAGTTAAACTTCCTGAAATGAGGTGCTTATCATTCATTCTGGAGTTTTTTTTCACATGTATTTATGTTAATTTGACATCCACAAGCAACGTCAGCCACTGGTAAAGGGTTTAGATACCCAGGTTGTGGCATTATGTAGTGCACAAAAAGTTTATGATTACAGGTCAGCATTTTCAGCAGTTAGTTTCTGTGTTGCCTGACTTGACAAAAGCCATTTTAACAGAAATGATTTAAAAAATAAACCCCCCTCATCGAAACACTGGATTTTTGGGGGCCAAATAAAACTGTGGGATAATGTCTGACTTGGATAAGTCAGCCAGGTATATTGACTGCTGCCCGACTGCATTTTGTGACTCATTCAGCATTTTTAATCTATTTAAGAGAAGGATCCCCACGATCCACTTACTAGTGATTAAGCAGTTAGCCTCAGGCCTACAGATTTTCCCTACTGCTAGTTACTTTTGTGCCAGTCTTCCACATCCTCTCCATAAACAGTCTTATAGGCTTCTTGGACTGCCAGTAGTCCTTGTTCTGTTTCCCAGCACATTAACCAGTTCTGTGTGTTGAAGGTTCTGGTCAGAGTGGTACCGCAGTTCAAAGTGACTCTCCAGAGCAGAACAAGGCCTTTAGTCTATCTGCTCACACTATTTACTGTCACAAAGTATATAAAATATCTATAACTCATTGTAGGTGCTGTGGAAATGTGTATGGTATTGCGATTTATTTGTGATTAACCTGTGGTGGTGTTCCACACATCATATCCCAGGTCCCGTATTGTCCTCGGGCTTGTCTGTGGAGTCTCACAGCGTCGGTGAATGCCGGCGTCTTAACAGTGCAGTTCTCCGGCAGACCTGTCGGGGGCAGGGAAGAAATGGGCAAAAGTTGAGAAACAAGATATCATCCTTTCTCTATTCATGAGAATACTCAGCAGACTGAAAAGTGTCTTAGTAATTGGGTGCTGGATGATGTCTTTGTAGTGCAGAATAAAGGGTGTGGTGCTGCTTTATCGCAACAGTTTCTGCAACACCAACAAAAACTGTTTCCATCACATCTGAGTCACTCTGTGGGACAGTCTGGGAGCCTAATTTTGGTCAGCGGTATATTCAGTCACGGTTCCTGGAGTGTGTCATCTCTCAAAACAGGAAGTAGCTGGTTTGTTGAAGGACAGATTCATGTGGTTGCTATAGTTACTACAACTCGCAGTTGACAGGACAATAGAAACGGCTCAGAAAGCACTCGGCCACATGCGTGCATTTTTTAGGAAGTTTGTTCTCATCTTGTAGCTGGTGTGATGAAAATACACCCGGAGCTGAAGTCAAGCGCGGCTTCTCTCACTTATTGTCAAGGAGCATAAAAGGACTGAGTGCGGAAAGTCATGAATCCCACACAATAGTATAAACAGGTGTGTGGAATAAAACATCCCTGTAATTAGCAGCTTGTTATTCAGAGCAGTTCTCCCTTTCAATAAAAGTGACCAATGTTTCAGTTGTGTTTTCTCTGTTGCCAACAAGAAAGAAGCAGTCCTTTGTAATTAAGGAAGTGATTTACAGTTTGTTTGTTTTTCCAACTAGGCTTTCATTACATATTGTAAATTTCTGTCTTTAAAAATACATTCAAAATGTCACAGAATGTTTCATTAAAACAGAATGTGAAGAACCAACTGCTGTTACTTTGTCAAAAACACCTATGTTGACAAGATATCGGCTAAAGTTGTGCTACAGCTTGGCTCTGCTTTCAAGCAACACCACTTTGTACTACAACATGGTGCAGAAAATCAATGTGGCCTTTAGCCCAAGCACAACTTTTATTTCCAGAATATCCAAAGCCTGCTGTCTGCTGCTTCTGCATCATCAGTGGAGCCAAGGGCCAAGGTGTGGTGGGTTAAGCTGACCCCATTCCTGCAAGGTACTGCTTCCTGACTCAGAACATGTAAACACTTTTACTTGATTGAGCCAAGATTGGAAAAAAATACATTTAAAAAAGTATAATTTGTTCTTTTTTATGTTTTAGTTTTAAATATTTAAACATGATCAAAGTCTGGTACTATTATTTATGACAAAATCAACTAGTATTTATCACATTATTTGAAATAGATATACTGCAGTTATATAGAATTTTCTAATAAAATGATCAACCCTAAATGCTCCATGACTTTTTAAAAACTATGCACATACTAACTGTATAAAATATCTAAATATCTGTGTTGATATTTAAGTTTTTTCACCTTTTGAAACAAAGAAACTAAAAAAACTTTATAAAAAATATATATTGGATTTTAAAGTCTATCAGGTTTCATCACATTCATTGTTAAGTCTGCACAAACTTGGTGGTGTACATTAAAGGCCATGTTGTTTGCTGACACCAGTGTTCAGCTTAAGAGAAAGATCAGCTGGTAGGAAAAAATACAAGAATTTCCTCATGTTTACATGCTGACCTTTGTGCCAGTAGAATTTATACCAATAATGTTTATGATTGCAGGTTGTGCCAACTCAGCCATTACAACCATTGATATATTAAAAATCAGGTGACGTCTTAACTGTATTACTGTGTAACATTGTCAAGACCTGTCTGTGTACTCGAGCCTGTCAAAACATCTTCCTCAGTGTTTATTCCTACTGTTTCCGTGACGCTGACTTGTCTTGAAGTGTCAGTAATGAGGTAACCGAAGTAGCGAAGTGTCCTGTTCTACAAATGGATGAATGGTTTGTTAGCCCGAGCATTCCTGAGTAGTGAACTGCTGTCTGTGAAGTCTACAGTGCACAAGGCCCACCATCCCCATGTGAGTGTTTCTTCCGTGGCTGACTCAGACGAGGTTGACAAAGACAGGAAGTTACCAAGAAGGAGTGAGGAGGGGGAGGGGCAGAGCCAGACAGGAAGCATTCAGCGAACAAATTCTGATGAAAAGCTGAGGGCCGGGGTCCCTGGTTTGTTTTGGCACCTTTTAATGAGAAGTCATTGGGCACTGAAGCTAGAAGCACAATGGTGGCACTAAGTTAAGATGGCTGCGATGCTGACAGGTGGTAAGCCGTCATTAGGATGTGAAATGCAATGAAACGCTGTTTTATGGTTTACCAGACAGGTGATAACTGTCGCCGTGTGGAAAAATACAATTTCTGCTGTTTTCAAGAAAGTGGTTGATTCAATGATAAACAAAAGGTTTATTTTAACTGGACAGAATAACCTCGGATGTAAAGTAATTGCCATTGAGCAGTAGGACACATGTTAGGCTGGCGTTTCAGCTATAATTGAACAGCCTCCACTCGCCTTCGTTACACTCACAACCCACTGACCCCAAAAGACCTTCAACATCAACATAACGGTGTCGTCATTCATTTATAAGAACAGAATAAAATCCTTCTCACGGTGTCCATAAAAAGACCATTTGGATGGCCTTGACTCCAGCAACTCAGTCGCTTCCAGCTGCTGAGTGAATAACTTTGGGAGGGAGATGGGCTACTAGAATACTGATCTTCAAAGTCAGTCAGACTAAGCTGGTAAATATGGGAGGTGTTATTTCATCTGAATGCAGCACAGGTCTCAAGTTAGAGCAACTGATAGATGGTTTAGTTTTGTAACTGTATCCAGAAATATTGACTAAACAGAAGTAGCAGTCATCATAGTGATTCAGTGACTCCCTCTGAAACCCAAGCTCCTCTTTTTCCGTAGTTGATGCTTGGAAGTTTTCAACACTCGCCCGACAAACTCAATGATGTGCCCGTCGCTTGCCTTGTCACAATTTCATACCAAAATAATACAAATATTCCTTTCTCAGAAAATCAGTAAAGTTTTGTTGTTGTTTAGATGTGAAAAAGCATTCACAGATAAAGCAAAAAATATCTGGATCATGTTTACAATTGCAAAAAATATGATGTGATAGAGCAAAATGGATATTTTTCAAATAGACAACCCTAAATTTGTAAAAAAGACTGCTAGATTTTATACAGCAACTGTAATCATACCCATAAAATGTTAATGTAGCGATAATAACTAGCCACTTGGCCTTTTAAAGCTCAGTGAATAGCCATTGAGAGGGCCCAGGGTTGAAATGTAGGGCCCTTCTGTGTGGACTTCATGTACATGTGTGGGTTTTTCCCCCACGAGCTCCAGTTTTTCCCATTGTTAAAAACAGACTAGGGTCATTCTGCTCATCTGATCCCAGGCCATGCTCGTAGCAGTAATTTTTAATGTCAAACATTTTCACATCACGGTTAAATGAAGGTAATTAACAACAAATGGCGTTCATGATCCAGAGATGAAGTAGGGTCCTTTTTTTCTTTCACATTTCAGTTTTTCTTCTACAGCCAGCATGCTGTTGAAAGATAAAGCTGCATTCCCTTCTGGGTGATGGTTAGATAAGCGCGCACAGGTGTTTATTATGCTGCACCTGATATTTAACTGTCCCCCAGTTCAGCTTAGAGCAACTCTTCAAAAGTATAAGACACACAACTTGTGGTTACTCAGTCATCAACCGGGTGACATCATACCCGCTGCCTTGGGCTTTTTTTCTTCTTCTTTTTTTTTTTAAAGGTACGTGTGTTTTGTTTAAATCCAGAGTAACAAACTACCAAAAGAATGACTGACAAAGCTACGATTGCTTTAACTTTGCCAAAAGTGTTTATGTATTGCGTCGAAGAGATATTAGCTGAGGTTGAACCGGGCTGTACTTTTGTGTAATACTGATCTGTACCACCAGATGGTGTAGTGAGTCAAGGTAACCTTTATTTAACCAGCATATTCCTATCTACAACTATGCCCTGGCCAAAGACCAAGCCCCTTGAGGAAATGGGGGTAGCTCAAAGAAATGGCAGTTAAATAGCAGCACACAGCTGAGAACATCTCAACCCACCCATGTGTGAAATGCTGCCCCTGCTGGTGAAAGTTTTACCTAAATTCTGTAGGTGGTAAATGCAAAATGTACCTCGTTAATTATGTTTAAAAACTTGCCCCAGTGTTCACTTATATGAGACGCGTTGTCACAATATTGGTAGAAACCAATAATAAAATGGCTCCCTCACTGGGACATTGGAGAAGCTGCATCTCAATACAGTCCCTAATGTTACTGTATCACAGATCATTAGATATTTCAGTACATCCTACACACAGTCTTATCTGCCCTACCTCAAAGCAAGAAATCTGAAATATGTCATGATGTCGTTATTTTTAGATCATTCAATGAGCTCATGCGAATGTGAGGCATCTGTCATCAGTCTGTCCTTCCACAATTCACAAAAGCCACCACTCCTCAAGAGCAATGGTAAGGTTTTAGTAAAATTACATTCATTTGTTCTGGGCCTTGACTTCTCAGTGATTCTAATTTCAAACTATTTGAATTTGTTTGTAAAGCCAACTGATGGCAACACAACCTGTAACATTCTTTCTGTTCTTCACACATTACAGGGAATTAAACTGCACATGAACTGCAATAGATCATGAACTGGATGAGCTAATGCATCCCTGACGTTCTGGTCAACTCCTCTTAGCTTGCTAACAGTAATGAGAATGCACCCCATTCAGGATGAGCAGCTAAACAAATGCGTACCAGATGAAGTTAAAGAATAGATGGCAGGTTTTTTGCCCCCTTAAGTATTATTCTTAATATTTAAAGGCATGCACTGGGACCACATCACCAGTGTGATTTTCTTGAAAAGTAAATTTGCTGCATTCCCAGTTTGTTGCCCTTTTAAAGAGAAATGTCCTGCTGGTGCCAAGAGAAAGAAGAAATATTTCTGGACAATCTGCCAGGCCAGTAAACCGCTACACATTCGCCATGTGTCTGAACCAAGCTAGATCAAGGAGTAGATTAGAGTTTCTTTGCTCTGTGTGTATGTGTACTGTGTATAAATAGCACATGTGGCAGCACTTACCACGCTCTTTTTATTTAAGGCATTTCCCCTCCCTGCCTTTCTCACCATGCTCTGGTTGACGGGACTGTAGCAGAAGCCAGGAGTTGAGTTCCCAGGCCTTCATCTTGACAAATGTGTCTCTCTTTTTATTTATTCGACAAGTCAAAGAGGATCTGAGACTTCATCTTCAGACCACCTGGCTTCAGAATAAAGAGGTTTTCCAACATTTCCTTTCTTTCTTTGAGTCAAAGTGCTGCTGCTGCTGCTGCTGCTGCTGCTTCCACTGACATGCATGAGTAGGATTTCCCCATATGGTGCAGACCCGTGGAACCAGCCAAACCCACAGTACAGTAAACACTCTCTGAAACATACCATCAGCTGCAGACTTCACAACCATGACTGAATAGGTCCTAACCTGCCATTTTAAACTCTTGAGGCCAGCAGCAGTGAATGCAGGAGGCCTTGCGTTTGTTCATTTTGCATGTTGGCACAGCATGATGTATGGTAACAGTGCCATGTAATCCATTATGCCTCTATTTTGAACTACATTGCATGCAGAGAAGCGCCATGCTCTTCTACTTTAACTTCTACTTTAGTTATAAACCTGGATTTATTGTTCTCTGAATTTTCCCATTGTAGGTCTGTTCTTGTTCAGTTAATTAGTCTGTGGTCTGTGGATCAGAGCAGAGGATGGTTGACTGGTTTTGGAGGCTGTGGGTGTGGAGAGTTGGCCACGATTGATGGTTCTCTAGCGGGAAGCTTGAAGCAGGCTTTGACTATATGACTGTGATTCCCTGCAGCATGGACAGCTTTCTGCAGGTCAAACAGCAACAAAACTAAACCAATTTGGGGATGAAATAATAATTTGAATCATCAGGAAATATCTTGATTTGCATTTAAATCATTGAGATGCAAAAATAATGTAAAATTATAAACTGAGACCAATGGTGATGAGATCAAAGTGCTTTTAGTTGCTTCTAACTAGTGTAGTAAAAATAAAATTCTGGATTTACACAGGGTAGTCTTCTACCAGGTCCACTTTCAGTCATTACCACATTTTACTCTCTATGAGGATAACTACAGTGGAGTAGGGGCAGGGACAGTTCTTTCCTGAAACTCGAGGACCCAGACTGTGGTTGCACACTACATTTGAGTGCATGACGTGACACCTTAAAGTGGACCTTTCATGCTCATTTCCATCCCTGTATTTTTATTCTCATACTCTTTTGAAGTAAAGATTGAATTGACCCTTTCCTCACTTTTCTACATCCTGACTTCCTGTCCTTTTTTCCTTATCACAGATTTCTTTTTGTATTCCTTTATCACTTAACTGAAACGTTGGCTTGGTTTCCTTTCCAGAAAAGCCCAAACTCTCACATTTAAGTGTGTCTTTAAAATAAATCTTTAAGTCCTGAGGTTTTAGTTTTATGCAGTTTAACCGGATGTCAGTGATGGCACCAAATTTCAACCTCATCTTATTGGCTGCCCCTCATACACTGAAGGTTTAAACAACAGCTAGGTGGCAATGCCACAGTGTGCCTTAGTTCTATGTTTAGCATCAGCCTCCACCATCGTTAAAAGTACAGATGTATGACAGAAAATCAGGAACATAATTACATGGTGTGGGTCCCGTTTAACTTTGGAACTCTGTGATTTAAAATGAATGAACTGACAACGTGCCTGAAAGCATGCCTAGCTGCTGATTTCTTATAGTGATAGCTCAATTATAAGGGTGAATTGCCACATCCCATCTTGGTAGCAGAACTGGTGTGTAAAATGTGTCAAAGTGACTGGTGTGTAGTCACTTTAACATGTTCAGACCAGCTTTTGGTTTCATGCATGCACACGTTACATCACTAGCCTCTCTGACACAGTGAGAACATCCAGCTGCTGTAGGTCCATCTCTCAGCAGCATAGTAGTATAATACTGAGCTTAAAATGCTGACCAATGACATGTGCTGGTGATGATGTCACCTGTTAAAGGAGCTGATTAGCAGGGCGCTTTGCAAATCACCCTGTTAAGGTGATGCAAAACAGTACCCAATTGTTTTATAGAAGAATTGTTAGGGCTAAAGCAACAAGAACTTTAGTGCATTTAAATATGCCTTTGGTGTGTCAGCGTGAACATTTTAACTTGTGGTTTCCGCTTATCAAAGCCAGCTGAATGGTGTCTGTGTTCCGTTAAGGACAGCTTTGCATGTAGCATCTATGCTGATACCATTTTATCCTCTGTACCGTGACTAATATGGTCTGTTTTATGCTTAATTGCCTAAATCGGTCATAATTTCAAACTTGAGTACATACATGTAAACTCTACCTTCAAATATGTCAAAGAGAGACATTTAACTACTGTCTATTTGTATGACTGAATGAGAATACTAAGAACTAAAAGGGCAAAGGTCAAGACAGAAAACCATATATCCTTCTTCCCAAGCAGAGTTTTTTATGCCATCTGGTTGTCCTCAGAGCACTGAAGTAAAGCAGTATGTGTGCACAAAGCAGAAAAAACATGAATACAAGTTCACACACCCAAAGAGCAGCGAGGTTACCTTTAATAGCCACGGGGACCCTGTGCTGCTTACAACATATTCGCTAAGCCCAACCTTGGAATGTGCGGCAAAGACTCTGACACTTACTGAGCATGCCCAGACAGGCAGTGTTTGGGAGTAACAGGTGAGTTGGTACAGAGTTGATCAAAAAAGTCAGTTGCTGACTTCTAATTCCTTTTTTTGGAACAAAAGGTACAGAGAAACTAAATACATCACACGCTGGATGTATTTAAATGAATACAAATGCAAACAGCTGTGAGCATCGTACTGTGTGGTTAAGCACAACGCTTGAATTCATGCAACATGATTGGCTGGCAAAATGGTTGGCTCTTCTGCCAAGCCTGAAAGAAACTGAATCAGGTTGAGCAACTTTGTCAGCCCGGTGAGGATCTTGGCGCCATTTATTTAGTATTTTAAATTCTGTGAACGAAGTTTAGTTGCATTAATCGTGACGCAGAACTGCTTAAGTTGCATTGGATACAGCTGTACAAACTATACACACGGGTGATTGGCATCTTTCTGCTGAGTGATTTGATGCAAGTGACTTGATTATTACAGTGACACCTAATGTGATCAATGCACTCACTTACTTAAAACACAAGTAGGGACAACTTAACTGCATGCTCTGCCAACCGAGAGGATCCAAACAAGCTAGATCACTTTCAGTGCAGCAGCAAATCGTTCAAGTTTGTTTTTGAAAAAAAATGAAAAATACAATCTCATCTCAAGTGAGGCACGCTGAATGTAAGACTGCATGCATGTGCAGTCATACCACAGAAACTGGTGCCCGTGTTCCTCCTGCCAATCAGAGCTCGACTTTGCAGCCAATGTGCAAATTAACTATTGGAAGAAGGCGGGTCATTTATATCACGGTGCTTCCAAAACGTAAATCTCAAAATAGTCCTGGAAAGCCAAGTGTTGCAACACACACACACACACACACACACACACACACACAAAAATGTATTACACTGTTGTTTGCACATCCTCCAGGATGTCTCATCTCTGTCTTAATAACAATGACACATGAGTCACACTTTTGCAAGAAAGAAACTAATATGAAGAGGAGTCATCCACCCTAATTAAACAATCCTTTCACTGTGAAATGAAATGCTAAAAGTGCCAACAGTGCTGTATCCTCCAGAACACCATAAAGCTCAAACAAAAGCTATGAAAAGGATCTCAGTGAAGGCAGCAACTGTATTGTAATGTCTTAGTGGGGAAATTTCTCATTTAACAATGAGTTTCAGTTCAACTTATTCATTAATTCATTCTAAATAGTGACATATGAGTTACAGTGTTTGGAAACTTGAGGCTAACTACAAATATTTCACAAATGAATTGGGGCAGCAGCACGTTGGTATAGGTTAGCTTTAGTTAGCTAGTCTTCCCTGTAGCTGCGTTTCCTCAGAGTACTAAATTCTTCTGACATGCATGTTGAGGCGTAGGACATCCAATTATTCTAAACTGGCAGTAGTTGTGTTTTTCTGTCTTTTGTGGCTTTGTGTTAGCCCTCAAGTTGTACACACACGTTGTACCTATCCATTTCCTTAAGGCACAAAGTAATTGGAATGGGACTTTGGGGGTTGACCTTGTGCTTAAGCATGATTTGGCAATATTCTTTAGAAAGCATAATGTAGAAATTTGATAATGTGCTAAAAAATGATATGGCAATACTATGTGATACTCTGCACTTCAACCATCAAAAATAGCCTAGAAAACAAACCAGAAAGCTACTTTTCTCTCAAACATAGAATTGTTTCTCTTGTGTTTCTAATGTTGTCTACTATTTGAGCGTTTCAGATGCTCATCTTGACTGTAAATGATGCACAGAGTGTAGATCTGATCCAATGGCAACAACATTTACAAAACAAATACACCCCATTCCTTCAGCATTTCATGTGCACAGATCGACCTGCTCACTCAGATGGCATGTAAAAGCTTCACACTGTGACACACACCCTCATCGGAACTGCCAACAAAGGTACAGAGGAAGAGAGGTTTGCCAAGGTGGAGAGAGAGAAACACTGCTCATGCTCAGAAGATGTACATATGATCCGAATTGCATTAACTTCACACAGCCTCTGGCTTTCTAGTCGTTTCTGTCACTTCCGATTTATGTGCTGCTTTGTGTTTGCATTGTTACCATTGTTACTGTCTCTGACGCAATCCTGCAGCACAGCGTGCCACTTCTTCTGCTCCTTCTCGGTCATCACACAGAAGTAGTGGTGGCGGGCGTATGGGTGCCACAGGATGAGGGGGAACCCGGTTGCACACTTGATGAATGGGTTACTGCCCACTTTGGCCTTGACACCTGCAATGGACCAGATGATGAATTGAGATTTCAAAAGCACTTTAGGAGAGGGAAATAATGTTTAATATTACTATAACAATCCGACAAACTGTGGAGGGGGGGAAATATACTAATGACATAAGTATTTATTTTTGTAGACACGCTAATCGTGTCATAACTTTCCACCATTATAGATGTACGGACAATCATGGTCACATTATAGGGTTAAACGAATAAGGTCCCAGTCCCACAGACTTATAGTCGAGTCAATGACTCCTGGGAAACCCCAGTTGCTAGGCAAAAATGTGTATTCCCCAACAAGTTAGAAATACCTCTTTGCACTTGCTCTGGCTGCTAGCAGATTGCTGCAGTTGGCTAGTTTGCATTGAATACGATGACTCACCTACAAATGCTCACCAGCAACTCTGGGCGGTAGTGAAACTGTGAATGGAGCAATGCAAACTAGAAATAACTATGGTCACAATCTGCTAGGGACGAAAGCAATCATAAGGAGGTTTTTGGTACAGCACTGCTCCTTGAGACTGATTTTACCTAGTGACTGCCAGCAGCCTCCAGGAAGCACTCACCAACCAGATGGTGGATTCACTTTCTTTTTTTTCTTTTTTCTTTTTTATATCTACAAGCCATAGTTTTATTATGTCCAATGTGGTGGACAACTCTTAAACAATGTGGGCATAGCACCACAAAAACCCAAAGAGAGAGTCATTTTGAGCCCTTTGCATCTTAAAAGGGGCTTAGTCATTTCAGAATTTGATGACTAACAACTGTATATTGTGTGTTATTTTCTAACCTGGCAGACTTTTATTAATCAGCTCCATGTACTCCTCCATTGATGTCAGGGCCTTGTACCCGGCGCAGTTGATGGTTAATTTTGGGTGCAGTCCCCGTTCGTGTGCCTGTTGGTGGTGAAATGGTTTTCATGCAGGTGACCAAATTGTCTAACCGGACATAGGTCGAGTGCCGTAAGTAGCTTTACTCACAGCTTTGCTCTCATAGAGGTTTATGGTGTAGTCCTTGGGCACAAAGACAAAACGATTCCTCCATTTCCGATTCTCCTCCAGGTACTGAAACAGACTCCCTGAGAAGATGGTGCAACCTGCCAGAGGGTCCTGAAAAATGCAAACACACACACAAAAGATTGCATGCGTTACTGTACCTTAGGATACAAACTCTAACAGGTGTGTATACTGTGCATTATTGAGACAACTGGGTGTTGTTACAATCTCCCATAACTAATCAACTTGACGCTTAACAGGTTTTTCCAAACGTGACAGGGTGGAGTTTTCATTTTGTTTTTCTTTTGTTTTTTTACTGAAACATGTTTACAAAAGGATATACACCACCCACTTTGTTTTCCTGTCTTGGATTAAACAATAATTGCTCAGATAGGAAGAAAAAACAAAGGCTTACTGCTTCCGAGCGACTGAAACGATAGGCCCAAAACATAATGATGATTATAAAATGGCTTGGCTTCTGTTTGCTAACAGCTGCAGACTTTTACGTGGATTTTGTGGCAGGGTCACTGGTGGTGGCGAGTGGGAGGGTAAAAGTGCCCGATCAGCTCAGAAACCAATCAAGTATTTATCTATAAGTTAAAAAATGGGAAGGGGGTTCAAATAGATTCCACTACAGTTAAATATTAAAGTTTTTTTACACATTTAGTCCAGTATTTTAATAACTCAAAGTCTTTTGAAACAGGATAGTTTCTTGCTGTGTGCTGGATCACACGAGCAGCTGACTCCCACACAGTGACCAGAAAAGATGAACCTGCATAAGAGAAACAGCACCTCTGCTCGTGTGTAAAATGTGCTCCACTTTCCCTCCAGAGTTAGAAAACATGGATTTAAAAAAAAAAAAATCCAGCCTTCAACAAGTGACCACAAAGATAATAGGGAATACAAAGACCGCTGAGAAATAAAGCAGGGGGCTTGCTCATTAGGTAATGTCCTTGTACATTCCCAAAGATGACCTCATTCATGCACTGTGTGCATCATCAAAGTCTGTTGGCTGTCCCGCCTGTGTGCATGTTTAAACAATGTCAAAACTCTGATGTACTCATTTCTTACTTTGTCCATCCTGCTCACTCCCAATAAAACCTTTAACTCCTGTCTTTTTGTCAGTGCCACCATCTCCAAACCACACGTCATGGCCGGTCTCACTAACATCTTGTAAACCTCTCTTTCACTTTTACTGATATCCTTCCTGACACTCGTTTCCACCTGCTCCACCATGCCTGTGCTCTCCTCTCTTCTTCATCTCTTTAGCACTGTCTGTTGCTTTGGATGGTTGACCACAGGGCTCACTGTTTCACGCGTCTCCATCACATTCACACACATGCATTCTGTCTTGCTTCTACTGACTTCTATTCCTCTCCTATCCAGAGCATACCTCCACCTCTCCACGCTCTATTCCACCGGGCTGTCTCTTGTGGCTTTATTAAATGTTCAGAAATATAAACAGAGGGGGTCTGAGGGGGCCAGTGGAGGCCACTATTTTATTTGTTTTTTTCCCATTGAATGACCAAGTGTCATACCTTTCTGTGAAGCAGCTGAGACTGCGTCCCTCCTCCTCCTTCTATCTCAAAGCGGACGCTGTTGAAGAGGGCGACTGCATACTGCTGCTCGTACACTTGGCTGAACTCTTTCATCCATTCTCTGGTCCGAGCTGCAGGGGGAGAGACAGACACACACACACACACACACACACACACACACAAAATCAGCGTCGTCTTCTGCACCAGTGCATGATTAACACAATCTATCTTATGTCTTATAGTAGAAGGACAAAAGATAAGTTCTGCAGTTTTCTTTCACAAGGTAACTTTAGAGATTTATAAAGTCAGAAATTGACCTAATTATACTACTTAAATGCTTAATACTTTATTTTGAATCTGGCAACCCAAGTCAGAGAGAAAAGAAATTAAATTCCTGAAAGGACAGACTGGTTCACTCTATTCCAAGCATGTTTTTCAAAAGTCACCAGTGCTGCAGTTTAAATTTCATTGTCAAAAATTAACTGGGTTAGATAAAGAGCTGCTGTTCTCATGTGAAGGCACGCTGTCTCTTTCACTTGCTTATTTAAAGGCCTCAACCTTTACTCCTGCTATCGGTTCTTTATGAAAACTCCCATATAATAAAATGTAAAGTGGACATTTGAGATAGCGATTCTCAGGCAAAGCTCAACAAAGAGGTACCTCTCATGTATGATCGGCACAAACCGTTGTATTAAGTGAAGCTCTAACAGACTCACAGCTGAAGTATTACTTCAGTCATTACATAAATTTTAAAGCAACACTTTGTTTTGTTCAATTTCATTTTAATCGTACTGAATTTAAACTATGTTACATTTAAATCAAAAGACAAAAGAAAAGTCAAATCAATCAAAAGAAAAGTTTATGGAACGACTGCATCGCTGGAAATATTGGTTTTACACACACAAACCTTTAAAAGGAGGAACACGAACAAAGAGCTACAGTTATGATGAATAAATGAAAGTATTTTTAGTTTACACTATGTAGCTTTCATAATATTTGGTTCGACCACCTTTATTCTTCAACAAAGCCTGAACTGTCTGAGGAAAGCTGCCTTTGAAATGCTTTAAGTAGTCTTCAGGAATAATTCTCCGGGCTTCTTGAAGGTCATTTAAAGCTCTCCTTTGGATGTTGGCTGCCCTTTGCTCCATCCTCTGTCGAGATGTTCCCACATTGCTTTAATTGCAAGGATTTAATTATGGGCTTTAATTATGGGCTCTTGGGAGGTCAGTGCATGACTGATAATGTTCCATTGCACTTTTTCTACCCAGATATGCTTTTAGTGCATTGACACTGTGTGTCATTGTCATGCTGAAAAACAAAGCTGCTGTTGATTAGATGATTTCCAGGTGGCGTTGAATAGTGGATCTAAACCTGATGGTACTCTTCTGTGTTCATAATTCCACAACAACACTGTCTAAAGTACAGAGCCTCCACCGTGTTTTACAGGTGGCTGTAGAAACTCACTGTTGCACCTCTCTTTTGACCTCCTCTGCACATATTGATGACAAATTTGAATTCATAACTTGGTTTCTCAGCCTTTTCTCCCACTTTCCCTTCCTTATGAATTTTGGCTTACAGTTCTTAGGGAACCACCTTCTTGGTGGAAAAATACTATTTCTTTTGCTCTGTCATCTTCGGCATCTTTCATAGATTCAACTAGAGAAATAGGAATAAATTATTTTGATTGTTTTCTTTTTGCGACAAGCTACTAGTAATAAAATGCCTAAAGATACAATTTAAAACTCGTCCTTTACGAAGTTGTCTGTTACATATAGACACAACACTGTTAGCTGCTTTTGTGCTTGAACAATCAGTGTTATCAACAACAATAAAGGAAAGAAATTCCTCTGACAATGATAAGGTACAAGGACTGGGCTGAAAATGAGTGAAAAAACAAAGAAAAACTTTGAAAGGCCTTCAGAGAACCTGGGGAGCTATTGCTCAAGATCACATTCATTTACAAGAAAGTCTGCCTCACTGTAAACAAATTATGAAGAAATGATTGGTGAATCAAAACTTTTGCAAAATGTAAATATGACTCAACCTGAGTAACTTGAGAGCAAAATGTAGCAACAGCACTGTATATTAGAGCATGCATTATACTGGGGTCAGCGGGGGAGCTGGCCCCAGGGAGGGGTCACTTGCCCCTCCCTTCCTTCCCTCCCCATCTCCAGCTGCCTCCCTCTTCCCGCTCCACCACAACCACCCACACATGCAGGGCCTTGGAGTAGGGGTATGTCACCAGGGTGCAGAGGAGGCTACCCCCCCCCTCTGTCCCCTTCTGGCTGCCTCTGCCTCAATTTTATCCCACAACTTAGACATTCACATTACTCACACTCTCATTACACATACATATAGGATCTTGGGGGTGGGCACGATACACGGAGTCCAAAGTACCATCAGGGTGTACACCCCACCCCTGGCATCGTTGCCCACCTCTCAATGTTAAATACACGTAGACATTGAGGGCTAGCAGGAGGGACCATGCGCTTACCTGCTGCTCTCTGGCAGGTAGCTCCAAGCCCTCCTGGGTTTTAAATGCACCTTAGAACACACATGCATCAACACTACAATGAGCGGGTGGAGGGAGGTTTGGAGTCTTCTCTCACCCCCATTCTCTGCGACCTGCTGGATCAGGGGGGCTAGGACTAGGTCTGCCTCCCCCCACCGCAGGGAAAAGGGAAACACCACCTGGCTCTGGGTGCAGTTCCCCCCTCCAGGGGCGGGGGCACCTAGACCCGGTTTGTAGAGTACGCTTGGGGAGTGTGATCGTGTGTACAACGTCTCTTTATGTCTGTCTCCACGTTGGTTGAGTGTGGAGTAAGTGCATATGAGAGCATGAGGGTGGGAATGGATGTTTGTATCTGTGTGTGCCTGTATGTCTGTGTCTATATGTCAGGTTGGGTGTCAGGCGCCACCTCTCTGGGGACATCTCAGGCCCTCCAAGGTTTGGAGGCCTATCTCCCCCTACCACCACTTCCCCTGCCAGTGGCGGACCCCCTCAGACATCGGTGCGTTGGTGGTTCTTTGTGTCCGGGGATGGGCGTCCAGGTACACACCGGCTCACTCCTTGGCGGCCGCTTATCGGGGCCTGGAGCCTGGGGTTCGCTCGGGCCACTTTGGAGGTGGGGTGCCCCCGGCCTCTCGGCCTGGGGCTCGGTCACTCAGGCACGGCTGGCTGCCGGCGGAGCTCACGGGCGCGTCACTGCAACTCCCCCTGGCTTCTGCTCCGCGGCTGCTGAGTGAGCCCTCATCTGGGACTCTCCTCAGCTCTTTCCGGGACAGTGGCGCGGCTGCCCCTCTGTTGGTCTTCCTTGGTCTCTTGTGTTCTGGGGGCCTCTGGATGTCTGGAGTTTTGATCTCCTCCATACCTGCTTCATGCCCTGGAGGACGGGGCTGTGGCCCCCCCACACCCTCTAGCAGATTATTACATGAAGGAACCTTTTAAAAACAAGCGCGTCCATGCTCACAGGTGTACACACGGGTGATCACACCCACAAACTACACCCTTTTTGGCTCCTACCTCAAAGCACACTGTGTTCTGTTGATCTTATGTGCTGCACAATAATGTTTAATATTTAGTATTTACTGTCATATTCTCATATATCATTGTGATGTTGTTTATTCTATTACTCTTGTTCTCTTCTGCTTGTTTTCTTTTTTCTTTCTCAGCAGGTGATCCAGGTGATTGATATATGCATTTTTTTTTCTCTGCCCGTTCTGTTGGTTTTTGTCTTTTGCCCTTCTCCCCCGTCCCTCTTCTCAGCTGTTTCTCTTTCCCTCTTTCTTTCTCCCCTTCTTTCCCCCAGTCAAGTCTGTCCCGTATTCAGTAAGTGAAAATAAAATAAACAATAAAAGGTGAATCAAATGGACCATTACGGCAAGGCTGGGATGGTCAGTTTGGTAAAGTAAATCCGTTGGGCATCTTTCTTTGCCTTTAGACAACAATTCTGATGGCAAAAGAGCCAAACGGGACAGGCCAAAAAAAAAAGAAAAAAAAAAAGAGCATGCATTATATTTCAGCCAACGTCCATAATTTATTATGCAAATAACTTGAAATAATGCCAACTCTCATGAAAAAATACTATTAGGTAAGTGCACAATACAGTAGAAAAAATACTCTGAAATGATCCTTTAACTTGTTTTAAGTCATCTCAAAATCTGATATTTAAACTCAAACTTGAATTTCTAAAAGGAATATTTAAGTTTACACAAACGAACCATTTGTAACTTCTTTGAGCATTTCAGACTACAGTGCACATTTGTTAATGCAGTTTGGAGGTTCTGGACAAACCAAAACCTGACAACATTTGCTCAGGCTCCAGTAAATGGCAGCTGCTTTCTCTTCATCGTTTGTATATATCAAATTATTAAGTTCTGAATATATCTGTTAGCGTAAGTCCTTGTTTGTATAAAAGCAAAGCCTCCTGGTATTGCTGAAAGACTTTTCTGTGTTCCACATATCCTCGAGATTTGTTATCTGTCGTCATTCAGCTTCCTAATAAATAGACTGAGAAGCTGCTGGAGGGGACAAAGGCTTTTCCCACGTTCTAATGCTGGAAAAGAGTTGGTGTTCGAGCTGATCAGTGTCTTTGGCTCATTCAGCAGCATATAGT